ATTGTGGAGTATACACCAAGAGATGCCCATGGCGGCGCTGCCGCCGTTGCTATGAAGGTGGCGGCACATTATTCATCTTTACCATTGCGGCATGGATCGACAGCGGCGTCTTGTTTTTTTTTTGGTTAGTATTTATTTAAACACTAAAAATATCCGAATGAGTAATAATTAAAACACAATTTAGTAATAAGCTTCGAACGATAAAAAAATCCTATTCGAGCGATTTTAAATTATGAAATGGGTAATAATTAATACATTAAATAGCAGTATGAAGTTCATATTTTAGTAATAAGAGAGGGTGTGGGTGTAGTGTGGGTGTGAGTGTCGGCGTAAGTGAGCAAGAGATACAAAAGCCACACCCATACCTATACCCTGTTTATTACAAACCTTCTCATTACTAATCCTTAGGTATAATGACATCAATGCTGAATCATTATAAACAATGGTGGATAGTTAACGATATCAATGGATCATTGTCACAACTCATACTACTTGACGAACAAGTTCGAGAAATCGAACGAATCAATTCGGATGGATTGAATGTTGCACTTGTTGATCGAGACAAAATTGCTTTTCTTAATGATTTAGGTGTGATAGTTTATCACCGCTGAAGCTATTTACTACAGATGTTCTTTGCAATAACCTCGATATAACATACAATTCTTCAAACTCGAAGCGTTCAATACCACCTTTTTATCTGTTTATTTATTCGCTTCTATTTCTTTTTTCTGCCCAGTATATTTTATTATTTTTGCGAAAGTACTCAAGAGAAAAACATTTGACAGCGGAAGGGTGATGGTTTGCAACGCTAATTCCCATGACAGCCAAATGGCTTAAAATTGAAAAAGATTCCTAAAAGAAACTGTAAAACGGAAATAGGTACTGGGTGTCCTAACTAAAACTGAAAGAAACGTCTGAAAAACAAACCAAAGTTAGAAATCTGTAAGAGCTATTATGGAATTTTCGCTCTCGAGAACAGTATATTCTGCACATTATAAGAATCTCAACCAATTACATTGACATATAGAACCAACTAAATAGATGCTGACATATCTATCTTCATATATATCTGACATTCATATTCTTATGTCTGAGCGTCGTCATATCAACTAAGCTTTATCAATAAATCGTTTCTTATAAGGGTCGTATAGGGAAAGTATATAATAAAATTAGGTTTATCATTTCAGTCAATTCGAATCAGTTTATCTGCAGATTTGTTTACATTTGGATCGGTAATTTTATTTTACTACTCTCTATGACACGAATAATCGAGATATAAACTTGTCTACTCTGATATTTTTTTTTTGAATGAAAATAGAGCAGAAACGTACGTATGATAATCATTGATAGACATCATATTATAAATAAAAACAATGAAAAATAAGAAAAATAAAGAAGGACGGTGTCTACTCGAATATAAGATAATAGATATCACCTTATATGCACACACAAAACAATAAAAACACATGATATAGGCATTATCAAGTGTAGGAAGAACTAGACAGAATGCAGTGTTGTCACAGAATTCTTTGTTTCAGTAAGATGTCAAATGGTTCATTGTATAATCAAATATATTTTATATTTAGTTCATATCTTTATTGCAATAACTCATGCACAAATATTATACCAATGTAACTTTGACAATAATACAGTAACAACTTCATGTCTTAAACCAGAAGGATTGTTTGGATTGCTTATTGATGAGAAAATGGGAAATGCAGATATACAATCACCTACTGCACCTCTTTCTGATGTCACATCTAGTCGTATGTTTAACTACTTACTATCTCTTTTACAAGCATTTCGTTTTTCACTTTCTAGTTAAACCAACAAGCAATGATGAATCATGCAATCTACCTTATAAAATCAATTCTTTCACCTGGGATATGTACTTTTGTAATGAGGGTTATTGTCAGACATCAACAGATTCAACTTCAAAATGTTCTGCAGGTAGTTTCATAAAAACATGCAAAGCTATATGATTTTCCTGTATTCTAGGCAAATTTGGACACTTTGGTTTTACAGGATTAAGAAAAGTTAGTTTCAGTCTGAATACTGTCTCAGGTGGTACGGATGGTGTCGATGAACAATGTCTGATCTATTATTATTATTTACCTGACATAACAGGAACAGCGCAAAGCATTACAATACGCAAACAAGAAGTAGGAGACATTAGTGAAACAATCGATAGTGTAGCGAGTAGTTTATACAATGGATGGATAAAGCGTCAAGTATCATTTCATACTTCAAAGAGTGGTTATAAAGTAAGATGTTTAGTTGATAGATTGTTTTTTATGTATAGCGTTTGCTGTCTGTCACTGTTTAGATCTACTTTGATTTTGAGAAAATATCTGGATCACCTAGTCTTACAACTGTAATTGCTATTGATGAGATATCAGTACTTCAAGGCAATTGTCGTACGTATATATAATTCATTTAAAAGTAAAACTGTTGTTAATTTACATTGTTCAAGTTGATTCATTCACTTCGCAAAGTTCAACAACAACCAAACCGATATCGACTACAACAACGGTAATACATTATGAGTTTTTAGAAATACATTTTGACGATATTCTACACAACTGATTGCACCATTTGGGATGCTACAAATATTTCGTTTATTTGAAGTTCATTTCCATTTTAAGTTTTTCAATAGGATCATTTAATGATATAATAACTAAGAAAAAAACATGATTAATGGGTGCAAACTTTGTTAAGGCGATGGATCATCGTATGAAAATTAGTATGATATAGTACAAATTCAAGTAGATAGTAAAATAACATAAAAATATTATGATCAACAGAGATTTTTATTATTCATATAATTTACTAAAGAAGTTCATAAATCTTGAAAACTTCATAAATAATATTTCATCCGTTTAATTAGAAACTTTTTGTTTAGTTTTCTATGCCAGTAGTGACGCGTTCCACTTTTACTTCAAGTGCTATATCTACAATAATACCTTCAACTAAATTTGAGACTACAGGTAATACTATTAGTTCTAATATGATTCTTATCTTCATTTCATTTAAAACTATACTTCTAGATGTCACATCAGCATCAAGTTCACAATTCATCTCAGGTGCAACTCCAACTTCAACAACATATACATCTATGGAAACATCAGTCGAAGTTGTGACATACACTGATGTCACTAATCCTTCTAACACAACAGCAATATCGAGTACACAAACAACACCATCTGTCAAAGTTTATATTATAGTTTTAGCAACTGTCATTCCTATTGGTACAGTTGCAATCGTCATTCTAATTCTATGGCTTAAAAAGCCTATGCCATTTAAAAAATCAAAAGTAAATGTGCTTGAAATGAATCAAGTGACACCAGCACCCATATAAAATGTGATTACACATAAAATATTTCTATATAGTTTATCTGATTGTTACTTCTTTGTAAATGTTATCATTTTCAAATACGATATAAATAGCATCGTATTATTGTATTGGAAAAATATCTAGTAGTAGAAGATCTATTTTTCTGTTAGAACATCATTCAAAAAGAAACTTAACAGCATAGTTTATGAAAACAATACTTAAATAAACATGAGATTTAAAGATCTCCATTTTTTCTGCGTGATAGAACAATATATCAATAAACTGTATAATTAACTACTTATTATCATGATTCCATCGTTAAGGTGAAAATCAGAATCAAGAATGTGTGTCATCTGTTCCGATAGATGTCCTTATTTTTATCTTTTTTAATATATTTGTAAAAAAAACGTCAATGATATCTATTTTTTATTCATTTAAATAATAAATGAAATGTAAATTTTGATTTATTTAATAAGAATTCAAGAGTTTCCAATGATTTGTTATCGATATTTTATTAATTTATATCCATGCCTCTATAAAAGTTTCATGTAATAATATTGAAATTGATTTTAAAAAAACGAGTTTTTTTTTCTAATTTTTTCTAATTCTTTTTATGGAAAATTCAAAATAATTTAATCAATACGGAGGTCGTCTTGCAGTTTGTCTAGTATGCCGTCAGACCAATAGGAAAATTTCGAACGAAAAAGAAAAATCGTTCTTTGTTTGACGTATTTCTTCATTCATTTTCGATTCAAAGATGTACTGAGTTACATATAACTTATTCAAAGAAAATATCTATATTCCTAAGTATACAATTTATCAAATTAACTATATATTTTCATTTATTTCAGATCATCACAATTGTTACTTTTCTAATCATTGTATCTCTTATCCTTCATCGTTTTTTTCTTCTTCCTGTCTCATAGATTAAACTAATAGAAAACAATAGACAAAATGTCAACAGAAACTGAAATTAAAGGCAAAAAGGTATGATTATTGTTTTGTAAATAAATATTTAACTATGAAAATTCTTTTTGTTTAGCGAACTCATGATGAAGATGATGAATCTAATGGAGCTGCTGAAACTACAACAGGTCTTAAAAAGAAAGCAACACCAGTAAAAGCTGCAACATCAACAACGAAAAATCGATCATCAAATAATGACGATGATGAATCACGTGGAGATACTAATGACGATGATTCAAATAGTGTCGATGCAAGAAAACGAAATGGTAAACCAAGTTCTACTGATGCTGGTGCCAGTGGTAAATATTAAAACAAGACAAAAATAATTTATATTTTAAATCAATCAATTTTAGGCGATCTAGACGAAAGTGGAGATTATGATGATGACGATGATGAAAATTCAGAAGATGATGGTAGATTATATAATATCTATTGAATAGAACTGCTTTATTTTTCTCTAGATTTTAAAGAAGGTGAAGGAAGTGAAGGTGAAAGTGATGATGGTAAAAAGAAACTGAATAAAGAAAATATAAAATATTTATTTTATTTTTTGTTATATAAATAGGTGGTAGTGAGGTTGGTGCCGGTGGTGATGATGATGAATCGAAAGAAGTTGGTGATGATGATGATGAAGAAGGTGATGAAGCATCTCGAGAGTAGAAAAAAACAATTCACATCCGTATACACACACATATATATTGATTTGTCGTTTTCTTTCTCGTCAAATTTTCTTTTTTTTTTTTGGTATGTGACGTTCAACGTCTCTCTGTTTCTATCTTTACTGATGTCTAACTGGTGTACCATCAGTAGATCAGTATTTGTGGTTGTTAGATAGACGTTTCCACTCTCTTTCTCTCTCTCTGTTTCTTTTGCACTTGTGTTTGTCTACATCATTGTTGTGTACTTTTTTTTCTCTCTCTGTCTCTATCTGTGCTTGTCTCTCATCCAGCTGTGGTTATGTATGTTTCTGTTCTTCGTGTATGTGTGTCGTATTTTGAAAAGAGGAAAACTTGTGTCTCTCTCTCTATCTTGTTAACAAACAGCAAAGATACACGAAAGAACTGTGTCAATAAAAAAATTCATTTTCTTGTAATCATGGAATTTAGAGATATTATTGAAATGATAAGATATATTTGTTTATATTAGATCTGTTATCAGATATGATGAAAACGAAACACTTAAAAATCACTTGAACAATTTAATTCATTGAATAGTAAAGTCATATAATAAAATTTACATGTCAGGAAACATATTATGTAATAAAATGAGAGAGAAAGTGGATATATTTTATTGGTATTAAAGCTAACACAATTGAATGATGAGCATTTTTCTTTAGTAGATCATAGATCTATTCTCTATTGATTAGATTAGATTCAATGGTAAATCATGGTCAATTTCCATTTCGATTGACGTCATACAGATATTATAATTTCAATCTTTATTTTATATTTCTAAAAATTAATCTAATTCGTATCTAGACGACTATTATTGAGTAAACAGATAAAAAATAATGTTTGTTATTACGACAAGTACTTGTGTGTATTTGTATATGTATGTGTTATTGATTAAAAAGCGTCTGTCGTTTATCCTTTAGCTATAAATTTATGTTGAGACTCAATAATACCATTTGGGATTTCATCAGTAATCGGATGGAATGAAGGCCAATGGAAAGTTCGTCGATTCCTTCTTTTTTTATCAAATGCATTATAGACTAAAATATTATTATGAAGTTATATAAGATGAAAGTTATGTAGACAAATTTATTATCGATCAACGATGGAAGATAATTAAAACTGTACCCTTTCTATGAACTGATTGACCTATTTTGTTTAGTATAGTCATGATAGATTTGCACTATGTATATTACCGATTCCATATTGATCCTTGAGTATGTCATAAATCATGACTCATCCTAATAGACGAAATGACAATCTATTTTAGTCTTGGTAAATAGTGACAATTAGAAGGAAAACGTTTTCTCTTGTATGAGATAAATAAGAACAATAATCTATCGTGATTAAGATTTATCTAGCCGTTTTTCTTGCTAGATTAACAAACTATAAAAACGTGCTTGTTGACACTCTTAGTGTTTATGTAAGAAAGAAGTTGTTTCTTATTTTAGCGAAATATAATATATCGATGCATTGAAGGAGAAGAAGAAAAAACTAAATCAACTTGAATTAATTATTCTCACTATATTTTGTGTTCGTCATTATTATGATATTTGTCAATACACATGCATATATAATCTAAATGGATAGTTATCATAAGAACGTACACATATAGATATATGTCTTCCATTTTTTTCTTCTTTTATTACTCGCCTTGATCTCGACTTCTTTGCAATGTTATTTATTAGCACAATTAACTTTGTATCCATATGTTTCTTTAGTGGATATGAAAGAGAAGAATAATTCGATATTAGGCAGACCAAAGGTCGACGCCTACACCCCTCCTTCTCTGAACCTTCTATCATTTTCTTGTTCTCATCTGTCATAAATAGCGATACATATATGTATATGTATATCTATATGTATAAGACGAAGGCTAATTCATCTATCTTTTTTTTGAAAAAATATGCTGAACGTCCGGTTTTGTTCCGTTCATTTTCTGGATGATTGCATATGAGTATTGTGATGCAATTATATTCTTCGTCTTAGCTATTTCTGGTATGAAATGATCCGCCTCCTCCTCTTTCTTAATGACAAGCATTAAGCTGATCCTTATTGCTTTTTTTCCTATGTTGAGAATAGCATTTACTCACGTTTTTTTTGCCTTTCCTTCTATCTATTTCTAGTTGAGTTTACTTCGCAAATGGCTCAATGTTGCGCGACTAAGATGAAGGTCATCTTCTCGTTTATAAATAAACTCTAATCATAGCTAGTTTTCCTTGCGTTCTTTAGCGGATTTGTTAATACAGAGTGAGAAAATGCGTCACTTCTGATTTCTATGTATGTACGCCTTTCTATTCTGTTACTCTCGACGTATGTCGACACAATGAGTGGCAATTATGTATACTAAAGAGATGTGTGTTATATGTATGGAGAAGATGAGAATTATAGCTATGTATTGAACTGTTTCTTGCTTGTCGTCACTGTCGATTACCCAAACCAGATAGCCTCTCCTTCTTCTTCTTCTTTTCTCTTTTTTGCTTATTGATGACAAAAGAAATCGGAAAGAACACATACATATATATATATATAAAATAGACTAACGCTACTATTCTTCATTCACTTATCATAAAAAGAACAATCATTTATTTTCTACTTTTTTCTTTTTTGATGTAATCAGTTTTGTTTCTAGAATATGTCAGCAACAGATAATTGGATAAAACTGTATAGATGGTGGCAAGAACATTTAAAATCACATTTTAATGCATCATCATCATCGATAGTAATTGAAAATTCTCATGAAAAACGAAGGTCCTTATTACAACGTCGTTCATCACTAATGTCATTTCGTTCTTCGAATCATTCTAAATTAATAAATGTCAAAAAACGAGCTTCATTTGGTGGGATTGAACATGATGAAGAGATAGGTGGTGATGGCACTAGCAATGGAGGATTTCGATATGTGCGTGATAGTATTCGAAATAAAAATTCCCGCTCGACACGATTAACAACAACAACTGTCACACAACACAAAAGGTTAGTTATTGAAAATCTTGTCAACTGACTTCTTCTCTTTTTTTTCTAAGAGAAAACAGGTAAGTAGATGAAGGGAGAGAGAGAGAAAGTTTTTTTTCCTGTAAGGTATTATATTTAATATTTAATTTCAAAGAATTATTTTACAGACCGGATATCCGTTCATATATGAGAAAGGTTTTCTTTTTATATATATTATATCTTCCTGTTTATTTGCCTTCAGACCGGAATACCGAATAAATGATTTGTGAAATATTAAAATTGATTTTCATCGTAATAAAATAACCGAAATCACGAGAGACAATAGATAGCGAAGAAGAAAAAAAACTGATTAGTACATTTTTTTTCTTCATATTATTATTTTATAAAGAAGAGAAGGAAACAAGAACTTTATTAATGTTTATCATAGTATAGTAAATACGTTAGTGAATAGAAAATAACAAAAAGAAGAAGAAGAGAGAATAGTTATTTGCAATATTTTTTTGCTCTTAAGTAACATAAGTGTATAGTAAGTAGTATTTCCTTTATATTCAATCGATCATTTATTAAAAAACAATGCGTGAAGATACTATTACTAACAATAGTTATATACACTCGTAATATTTATCTAAAATGATTTTATTGTTTAACGATTAATAGAAAATATATGTAGACAAGTGATAAATCGAGTTTTTCGAAGGTTATTCATAGTATCCTATTTAATTATTGATATTCATCTAGCTAGGTATATATCCTTGATCATAAGTCTAGCCATTTGACTTTTAAGAGATATGTTTATGCACATGTTTAAATGAATCTCGATATATATGTTTATGAAATGGCACGTAGCTGTTTGTCTGTATATCTTTGTCTGATGGATTGTCTATTTGATGACGTAATGTGTGATTGAGAGTATCTATTGCCTTGATTTGATGACAGAAAAAAAAGAAGAGAAGAGAAGAAACCTTGAATTATCGATAGAAGTTGACGTACACTCTATCTCAATAAAGAGAAACAATTGCAAAGTGATGATTGTCATGTCATTGTAATGTTCACTAGCAAAATCATTAGTTTAGTTCATTTTTTTCGTCTTTGTCTATTATCTTGTTATATAGAATGATAAAGTACTTTGAAATAGTATAGTTAGAAGGAAAACAATAAAAGAGAATAAAAGAACTTTCCCTAAAGACCTAAGGCATATTATTATATGGTTACTTATATGAAACAATCTCATAGTAAAGAAAGAAGATGATGATGAAATAATTTAATGAATATTGAAGTATCCTATACGATTATTTTACCTTTTCTCTTTTGTATTACATCATAATTTCATATCTATTCTATAGTATAGTTCAAATAACAACAAAAAAATAATTGAGCTCGAGTATATATACACAAACACAACACGTATGTTTGTGTTTTGCTTGATATAAACATAAGATAGATCGTCTGTATAGTGCTTTGTTATTCCTGCAGTTTCTTTTGTTGACATTCGCTACTAGTTGACTGACTGACTGACTGATTGGTTGTTTGACTTTGGACAGCGTTGACATTAATAAATATTGTACAAGTTACGTCGTATATATATATATATTAAAGAAAGCAAAGAAAAAAAAATAGAAAAATATTATCTTCATTTTTTTGTGCTATCTTCAATTATTATTTCGATTGAAATAATCGATGAAACGGAAATCCTGTAATTAGATTCATCTTCATGCAAGCATCAACAAAAATATTTTATTAAGGTAAATTCAAATGAATAAATTCATATATCATTTACTATTATTATGATGATGATGATGATTTATCATTTTTCTGCGTGCTTCATAAATGTATATCGATCGTTTTATTATTTTCCCTTTTGACGCGCGAATATGCGCAAATCGCATATGTTTATCATATTAGAATAGAAGAGAAATCTGGTGAGTCCGTAAGAATCGATTAGAGATTAATATTGACGTTCTTATTTTTCTCGCTTGAATAATAATTATATAGGAATATAACGAACTAAGTCGTTTCTATATAAATGATGTCCTTTTCCTTTTTCTCTCAATCTGTTGTCTCATCAAAATAACAAATAGGAAAGTTTGTTTTCGATGTTTTGTTTTCGTAATAAAAAATATTCTAGAAGAAGAAACTTTTCTTTTTTTTTGCTGTGTCTTCTAATCAATTGATATGATATTGATTAATGACTATTAATCTAAGATATGTGTAGGTGTTAGATAAATATTCTTATTTTAGAATCCAATCATATTAATTTACTATTGTATATGAGCATGTAGAAAATGATTGTCACGATGAACTTATTAAATGAACATCATCATTTTTATTTTCTTCATTTGACGTATTTCATCACGTATGATTGTTATTAAGAAAGTGAAGACAAAAGAATACCTAGGTCTTGTGTTATAGTTAAGAAAATCATATTTCTGCTGTTCAGTTGTGTTGTAATCTGGATTAAATAAAAAGAACAAAATCTAGCTTAGTTGTAATGATGTTAAACTTATTCCAAACGATAAAAAAAGGAGACGAGAAGGGAAAAGAAGAAGAAGAAGAGGGAGAAACCGACACATATAGATTTAGTCTTTTCTCCTTCTACTTGTTATACTCCTATCTTCCCTATTTTGATCTTCAAACGGATTGTGTCTCTTTTTTGCGTTAGAGAAAAGTATTCGATCTCTTTTATTTCTACAAGGCCGTTAGTTCTGTCATTGAGACACAATCAGACGGCAAAAAAAAGTTTTGTTCACGCTAAAACGCGTCCATTCCATTTATACTCATTTGTCATTCACATCCACACATATTCTTCATTTGCCGGAAATCAACTTGTTCCTGATAATCGTCTCATCACCAACATTGAATATATATATATGTATGTCTATTTTCCCTTCATTTATCTCCTTTGGCTTGCATCACTGATGAACAACAACAACATCATGTAAGACGAATATTTTCTTTGACAAAAACACAATGATGAAAATGCCAGCAGCAAACAATAACGGAAATAGACACTTGACAAAAAAATACGACTAAACAAAAAAACCCCGAATGCAAATCCTTTTCCTATTACCTTCCTTTTTCTAAAACAAAACTAATATCAATATGTCATCGTCACCCTCATCATCACCAGCTTATGAAAATGAATCGAAATCAAAACGACGATCAAGTATTACTCGTATTAGTAATCAATGTCGACAAATATTGGCATCCCGAAAACAACATATTTATTTAAGGTCGGTTCATCCTTTTCTCTTTTCTCTTCTCTCTTCATTCAATTGTTTGTATTCGTCATCTTCAATGATGAATTCAATTTATATAAGCATATCAAAAATATTTTTGAAGGATAGTCTTCGAGAATCATTTTGATGTGAAGACGTGAAACGGATGTATTTTATTATACAAATATCTATTATTATCAGACAAAATTATTCTATTCAATTGATATCGTCGAATCGAAATTTTCTTTATATAATCATCCACTAAATAATAAATACATTTTTTTCTTTCTTTTTCTGTTAGGAGATAATACGTTTATTTATAAGTAAGAAAAAGCTTGTTTAATGATTAATAAGAGAAAAAGAGTTTTTTTCAATGACAAGGTATCAGATATTATCTACGTGTATTTCTCAGAAGACATTGAATAAGTAACACTTGTAAGTTTTTGTTGTATATCATGATAACCTTCAGAGATATTTTCATATCCAATAACCTCCTGCTATCATCTAAGACAAGCTCTTTTTTTTAACATGTAACTAATATTGTTAATCAAGTTTGTTATGATCGATGATAGAAATTGATCTAAGACAAGGATATGATGTTATTTATTAAGAGAAATACATGACATGATATCCAACAATAAGTCAATCTCGCTAACAAACAGGTTGAATCTATTCTTCGATATATAAATATGACATTTTCATAACAAAATATTGATTATTCTTCTAATTAACTAAATCTTTTTCCTTGTCACAAGATTTTACTTAGTCATCTTTTTCTGTTCTTTTTTTGAGTCTAAATAAAGATGTTTTCATTTCTAATTTGACTTATTCATTCCTTTTTACTAAATTGACATTTACTTTTCCTCTTTATGTCAATTCACCTTCAATAAACATTAAGAAACCCTGACAAACATCAAATAAGATCTTAATTATATATCTTTAAAAATAAATTTAGTCTTTTTTTAGACGTCAATTTCGTAAATCATCAACGTGTGATATATCAACTGATGAAATTTTATCAAAAGCAAATAGTTTTGAATCTACGAAAACTTCACCAATGAGTCGAATACGTCATGCTGGTACAAGACGTTTTTCTCTTGTTAAACTTGAATTACCATCCGGAGATTCAACAACAGGTTTATTAAATTTAGAAAAATTTTATTTTTATATTTTTTTTTTAATTTTAAAGATGATTTAAAAACTTCAACAAGTCCTAATCTTATTCAAAAATTACTTTTTCGACAATTCAGTCCAAAAACTCGTCCTTATTCCATGACCATTCCTGTAAGTTATCATAATAAAAAAAATTTTCTTTCTATATATATTTTTTTTTTCCAGTCTGATAACAATGCATCTACATCAACAATATCAAATGATACACTTCAGTAAGTTAATTAATACTATTAACATAAAAATTCACTTTAGAGAAATGCCTATTGATAATAAGCACTTATGTGCTTTTTTTCATATCACGATAAGGAACTTTTTTTGAAAGCGCAGTATGAACGAATGTTTTACAAAATTCAGTTTTTGTCTTAGTAATTATGCAAGTGCTGGACGACGAATAACTACACCAACAGCATCAAAAAATTCATGGTTGAGTTCATCATCATCATCAAATACCAGTAAACAAAATAATGAGATTGGAGAAAATTTATTAACACCACCAAATATAGTATTACCTAAAAATCAACAATCAGAATTAACATCTTATTTATCAAGACGACGTAATACAACTGGAAGTATTTCATTGAATAAAGTTGTAGATTTAAAAAATACGACAAGTGGAAATGTATTAAAATTAGCAAATGCTGCAGCATTAAATATCTCAAATAATAAATTATCAACTGAAAGTAATTGAAATAATTTTTATTTTTGATTTTATATTTTGTTTTTCTTTAAAAGATATTTTTCAAATTGTTGAAGATTCTGATCTATTTACAACGAAACAACTTTTACAAGCTAATGAAAATCTTGTTAATTCGTAAGTAAATAAGAGTCAGAATAATATAAAAGAGAATAATCATATTTATATTTGCGGAAACGGAAATAGAGATTGACAAAATTGATTAGTTGTTTTTCAAGAGAACATGGTGATATTTTCAATATGTTTTTCCATAAAAAAAAATCAAGCTGTCTCCAAAACGGAAATCATTTCAATATTTCCCACTTAGTCTTTTCGACATAATAAATAAGAAAAAATCTTTATTCTATTATGTCCAATAGGTACAATGAATATGATTGGTGTCCATTAGATATTGCTATAATGTTAAATAATATTCCAATGATTCAACTTCTAGTACAATATGATGCAGAAGAAAGTTCGAAAAGTATATATATATAATCATTGCTAATTATCTCTCTTTATTATTAAAAAAAACGTAAAATTTTGTAGTTCAACCAGAAGAATGTCGTTATCAAAGTGTTTGTCATCAATTAACAATTCTATCTCAACAAAATCCTGATGAAATTCTAAAGAAAACTTCATCAAATAAATTAACAATGGATGATGTTCAGGTATTGTTATATATTTATATAACGCGTAGGTGATGTTTATTATCCAATGAATTTAGTCACGTCGTTTATCACCATCAAATGAATTCCAACCACGTCATCGTCGTACAAGTAAAGGGCAACAAGAGCAATTACAAATTCTTCAACAACAACAACAATTCTATCAGCAACGAACATTAACGTTGACTCAGATGAAAGATAATTATGAACAAGCAGGTAAGAAGAAGAAGAAAAAGAAGAAAAAAAAACTAGATAAAATCCTAAAAGCAAAAAAACGATTGAACTCAAAAACTAACAAGACATCTGTTCAACAATTTTATGTTTTCTCATTTCCGCCTCGTTGTTTTTTTTTACAACAATCAATATAAAATATAATACGTCTATTTAATGATAAGACAAACGAGAAAATAAAAGAATAGATATCAAAAGTAGTTAGAGAGAAACGACGCATTTTTTTCCTCTTCTTCTTCTTCTTCCCCTTTCTTTCTTTCTTTGTTTTTCTCTCTCTTTTCTTTGATTCTCTATGTCTTCTGTCATATTATATATATATATTTATATATCAGATTCTCGTTTAATTAGATTTCTAGTAGATTCATTCTATCTTTTTCTTTTCTCACCTTCTCCTAGTCAGTTATGTCTCATCAATATAATAGGATCCGTGACAAACCAACCTAAAAATGACACTCTCTTGTCAGACACATGAACATAAAAAAAAAAGAAGATAATCGTTATGGGAAATCATTTTCTTTCTCATCACTAAAATCAGTACCTAACGCAGCATGACTAATTTTCATTAAACTGAACATGACAATTTTCTGGTTTTTTTTCTCTCCATTTTTTTCTTCTTCTTCTATTCTGCGTCGTTTCTCTTTATATCAAAGAAAAAAAAAAGAAAATTTTACTATCCAGGTATTAAGCACATCAGTCTAACATTCCTTGTGATTTCTTTTTTTGTCCAACTAAGAAAAAAAAAACTAAATCTTTTTGATAAAATCTACATTGAGTACAATAGTTTAATTACATTTTTATATAACCACCTATATAAAAGAGAATGGATGGAAATAAAAAATTTCGTTCTCGTGCTTTAATCGTTAAAACTGCACTTCGATTTATTACAAAATCTCGTCGAAAAAGTATATTTTCTGGTGAAAGTTTTTCATCGGACAATCTTTCAATATCATCATCACCGCCTCCATTACATTCACCATGCTTATCAAAAGAGTTTCATTATCATCAAGAAAAATATCAAAAGCGTAAGTTATCAATGTCAAAATATGAGGAAAAAACAATGACAAAAAAAAATCAGTCATATTTGATTAATTACTTAGAAATTAATTTCCGTCTATCTTCATACTCATTAGTCTTTCTATGAATATTCGATGATGAATGAATAATCTTTCTTTGTAATTTTCAAGGCATTCCGGATGCTCCAACCAATGTTCGACTTATCGTTACTGGTTCAAATAGCATCACAGTTACATACGATGAACCGCATAGATCCAATGGAGCTATGGTTATTAAATATAAAAGTAAGAAGAAGAACAACAAGAAAAAAAATATCTATTGATAGCAATTTCTTCTGATTAGTTGAATGGTGTATTAATGAAAATTTTGAAGAAAATTCATCATCTGATAGTCTAATACAAAATGATATTGTAAAGAATTGTTTTCTTCGTGAATATGTTATTCGAGATTTACCTATTGGACAAAAATGTTATGTACGTGTATCAGCGGGAAATATACGTGGATTTGGTCCATCAGCAATTGCCAATCCACCTTATTGTGTTCCATCAAGTAGGTTACATAGGAATTATTATTCATTTTTCAAATATTTATTTAAAACATAATTATAGGTTGGCGTGAATTTTCTAAAACCTCACGTCCGAGTATATGTGATTTACGTTTTGAAGAAATTCTTAATAAAATTCGACCTGAAAAAATTCTTAATGAACGTGGAGCAAGTGGTGCAATTACATCAACTTCTAATTATACAAATAATGGAACTAGTGATGGAAATGGTAGGTATTCATAAATTAAATCCTCTATATTTTAATATAATAGAATACTTAACATCAAGATTGATGAAAAGAAAATTCATTTACAATAAGATTTCTCCTTTTTTTTCTTCAGTAGTTTTGTGACAGTAAAATGAATTAGCATACCCCTCTATGTAATGAAGTATTTATTATAATATTCTATATGTCTATCTAATGCTCATTTTCATATACTAATTATTATTTAAATCTAGAATCTCCTGAAATGCCAGTACCTGCAAATTCGACAAGAAATCGTCGTCGAAGTTATGGAAATCTTCGACGAAATCTTCGACAATTCTTCCAACTCTATCCTCGTTTAGCTAAAACAATGAAACGGTAAAACATTTATCAAAAAAAACAAAAACTAAAATTTCTATTTTGTATTTATTTTGTTTAGAGGTCTTTATTTAGTATCTGTTATATTAAATGGTGAACGAATATTAGTAACAAATGAAGATGTTTTACCTATGGTTGAAGTTGATGAAAATTATGGTCATAATTTATTAGGAGATTTTCAATGGTTTATGAAATTAACATTTGTTTGGGATGATTTAAAAACTTTGCGACCTGATTTAGAACGATGTTCAAGTGCAACAACATTTTATTTACGTATGAAACTTGTTCAAGCAGCTATTGAGCTTCAAGTAAAATAAAATATTAAAAAAGCAATTCATTTACAATTCATATATCTCTTTCTAGACATTAGAAGAAATAACTAATCTTGGTCGTCTTCATCATACTTATATACGTGATAATGATGGAAATGTTGCATTTGTATTAATAAATGATTTATCTTCAGATACACGAACAAATATTTGTCCACCAAATTTAAAATGGACATTAATGGCGAAATTTTTTGAAACAATTAAAGAAACTGAAACAAATAATTCTTGTCTTCAACAAATTACTGATAAACTTCCGGTATGATAAAGCAAAAAAACAAAAATATGTCTTATATTTTTTCTGCTTTTTTTCCTAAAAAAGGATATGATAGATTTTTATCATGCATCCATGCGTCGTCTAGATCCTGGTTTATATGTTGCTTATTTAAAAATGCAAAATAGTGTTGATTGTGTACGTGTTATGGTTAATAGATATATGCCCGGTTCATTGCCCTGTACAAAAATTCGTTCTATAGCAAATGTATCAAGGTAATTTATACATGAGAATTAAACAAAATTTGTTATTTAATTTATGGTTTTTTTTATCTAGAGAAGAATGGGAATGGTTACATAAAAGTTCTATGATAGATAATGAAGAACCGATAATATTACTATCAGAAGATCAATCTAATGAAACTAGTCTTTCGCGCTTTAAAACACAATTTGAAGAAGCTGCTAAAGATTTATGTCTTATGCTTAGTAAATTTAATTATTAACCAAGAAAAAATTTTTTTTGTTAAAAAATAAATTCTATTCTTTAGATCTTCCAGAAACTCATTTTTCAAATAGTCGTATATATGATGCTCAAGTTGTTGAAATTCGTGATGATCTTTCATTAATTATTTTAATGTCAACTGCTGATGAAGTGAATGTTCTTTCAACTCCATCTTCAACGAAACAACGTTATTCAATAACATCGGATTGTCTAACACCATTTATGTATTTACCTGTATATATATTTGAAGTTTGTAAGTAGGATTTATTATGATTTTAATAATGAAAATAGAGAAATGTTTGTATATATTTTTAGTACAACATTTAAGTAATAATTATCGTTTTATATCTCAATATAGTCGTGTATCGATTTGTTTGGATTTTGAATTGATTTGTGCTCAACAAAGTCAACGTGAAGCATTTTCAACAAATGAATTGGATGAATCACGTTATCGTCTTAATCATTTACTAACATGTCAACAAGATTTAGATGATATATGGCGTTCATCACGATGGCTTGTTGATGTTATTAATTGTGCAAAAGATAAATCTTATGCTGGTATATCATTAAAATCTTGGTTAGCATTTCAAAAGCCATCCAATGTTCAATTAAAAATCACTGCAACTGATTCAACATCTGTTAATTATGCATCAGATTCAGCATTAGATACAGTTAAATTTAGTAATTCAACATTAGCATTACCATCAACAATGACATCAACATCATTATCATCTCCATTTTTAAATGATACATCATTAATGACAAATTGTGACAGTGGTTTTATTGATCATGAAACAAATAATAATAATAACAATAATGATAGATATATGACAAATCGTACATCAACAATATCAACAACAGAAACAAATGATCCAATTGAATTAACAATTTACATTCCTATATTAACATCAAATACATTAATACCATTTAAATTACGTACAAATAAATTAACAACAGCATATGAATTATTACAATTAGCTATGAAACAACAATATGTATTATTAAAATCAATTTCATCATTAACATCATCAACATCATTAGTTTTTGTTTGGGTACGATCAAATAATCGTGAACAAACTATTGAAGATAATTTAATAGCGGGAGAAATTGAAAAACGTTTAATACGTTATGGTGGACAAATTCACATACGTTCAAGAGGTTTATCATCATCACGTTCTTCTCAACCATTAAATAAACTATCATCAGGAGTACGTCTATCACCAACAACACCTTCTTCATCGAATACAAATGCTTCCAATAATAATAGTTCGAATGGACCTGGATCAAATTTAAGTTTGAATATTTAATAAAAAGAAAAACGATTCTTTTCTGTTTCGTGTTTTTTTTTCGTTCCTTTCATCCCTTTGGTTTTGTAATAACTAAGCAATACATGTCATGTGATATAATTTAAATTCTTTGAAGAAAAAAAGAAAAACAAAAAGATATATTCAATTATATTATTTCATTTAAAGAATAATCAAATTCAAGCAATGTATTTATTTTTTTAGTATTGATAATAAATATGCTAATCTCGAACGAAAAAAATAAGTTTCAATTCATAGATTCGCGAAAATCAACTAATGAATTATAAATTGTTTGCGTTCTTGCATATCCGCACTTCACTGATCGGTCCAAACATTAGATAAAGATATGGAAGGAATTTCTTTTATAAGGGTTGATCGAGGTCGAGGAACTCGAATCTGTTGTTAGCTTTGTTAAATAGTTTACTGGTCGCGAAGACCTATCGATTCTAAGAGAAAGAGCTGAGCGTTACTTATATATTTCCATGTTTACCCTTATCAAAACTATGTGATTGCATGCATTCTTTTATTATAAAAGAATTAAACATCACACAATATCTTTTAAATCCGATTTCTATTATAAGGGAATAAGTAAATATTTATTATAAAAATCATAATCTTGTTTGTAAGAATTTTCTCAATAAAAAATAAATGATCTTTTTTGTTAAAATATGATAATTAAATTTTATAAAGTTTTAATTTATTATTTGAATTCATTGCAATCCATTCATTTTCTATTAAACAAAGATTAATAAATCCATTTGATTTATCAATATATGGTTTTTCTTTGATTTCTCCATTTTCATCAAGTAAAATAATTTGTTTCGGTAAAGAACAATTATTAATAACAATCCATAAACGATCATAAGGTATAATTAAACAATTTCTCATGCCAGGTATACCTTGTCCCAATGAACAACTTCGATTTATTCGATGAAGATTATTTGAATCAAATAAATCAACTCTCCATTCACGATTTTTTTGTTTTATTGTTAAAGCAAGAATATTCCAATCATTAATACGTATAGATTGTGCTAAGAAATCTTTTTTTTGAAGAAAATATTTTTGTGACCATTGTTTTTCAAGATTATGTGGATATAAAATCGAACGACATTCAATTCGATTTGAACATGAATAAAGTAAATAAATTGAATTATTATTTGTTGTTATTGATACAATCCAATCACCACGAGCTAATTCGATATTTTCAATTGTTGATACTTTACATGAACGAGGATCAAATGTATAAAGTGAATAACCAGCCATAAGAAACATATTTAATTTTATTGACCAACATAAATCATAAAAATATATTAATGAATGACTTAAATCAATACGTTTTAGTTCATTATCTTTATTGAATAGAATAAGTGTTGAACATTGATTAATTGATGTTAAAATATAATAAGATGATGATGCTATTGGAAGATCATTTCCATTTAATGAAAATTCTTTTGTTGGTGTATGTTGAAGAACAGTTGTTGGTAATGGTGCATTTAATATTATTTTTCTCAAATCATTATACGAATCAAATGAGATACCATTACGTCTTCTTGATAAAGTAGGTGTAGTTAATATATGATTTGGATTATTAAGATATTCAGATGATATTGATCGAATTGTCGATGCTAACCGACGAGGTAAAGATCGAAGTTTATCTCGACTACGTTTAAAAACATCCATTACAAGTATTTCAAACAATAACAATAAATGATTCGAGTCAAAAACAGGCGCATATATACATATATATATCTGTTTAAACGCGGAATTGAAAGAAAAAAATACTTACATTCTACATATTAACTACAATGATAAGAAATTTTTTTTTCAAATACCAGACTTTTTTCCCACATAAATCTTTTCCAATGCAAAATAAATCATTGATACATTTGACCTTTAAGTATATGTTCATAGTATTATATGAAATATAAAAACCTTGACTAATTTATGTCATTTCCGATTTATGCTATTTATAAAAACATAATGTCATACTTCGGAAACGAATTATCTTATAATTATCGTCAACTGTCATTAGTCGGTAAAAGTAATGTTCTTATATAGAAATAAAATTTTTTATTTACTCTTGAACTTTTATTATATGAAAATTTTAATGAATTACATTTTTATTCGGAAAAAAAATTTTGAAAAAATATAAATTCTGTTATATAGAAGTACAATTACAATCGTAAAAAATGAAATTTATTCGTGTCCATTATCATATAATCGTTTGTATTTCATTAGAGCACCATTGATTTCATCATCCGATGGTTCTTTTAAACTTCGTCTAGAATGAATATTATTATTATTAATTTAGACAAAAAAACATTTCTTTTTTTTACTTAAATAAATGAAATAATGTTTTAACAAAATATGTTTTTGCTACACCATCTTGTCCTTGAGTAAACCCGCTTTCTTCAAATCGAGCAACATTTAATGAAAATAACTTTAGAGAGAAATAGAATAGAATAAATATTAAGAAAATCGAAATTAAATTTACTTCAACAATAAATCCAAGTACAAGTGCTAAGATATAAACATTTGACATGAACCACCAACTAACCAAATATAATTGACTCCATCTTAAGTAGATATATATTTTTCTTCGAGTAGAAAATTTGTAAATATTTACCTTGTAGAAAATTCTCGAAGAGCAGTTAAAAAAACTCCCCAATTATTAACTAACATTACATCATATAAAACTACAACAGTTGACTAAAAAATAAAAATATTCATAAAAAAAACGATGTTCTTTTTTTTTGTATTGTACATCTTACAAAAAAGTCATCAAAATTATTTGCCCAATATTGACTCTGTTGATATGATCCACATGTTGCATTTCTAAATAATTTAAATAATATACATCTTACTCATAATTCATATTCTTACATAATATCAGAGGGTGTCGGTGGTTTGATAACTCCATTGAAGAGCCACATACCTAATACAGCATAACTATAGAACAAGCACTAGGGATAAAAAAAGAAAAAATATTTTTTTTTATTATTAAATAATTTATAAAGAAAGTTTCATACAATAAGAATTCCAATAAATGCTTTTAAATTTCTCATTCCATCACTAATTGTTCCCATAATAATTCCATAATTAGTAAAATGTGGCATGGAACGAATTGTTCGAAAAATAACAAACAAATTAATAATACGTGTTATTGCCCATATTGAACTTGCTGTACCAGCAGCATCACGTACAACTTCACTATATAAACAATTCTTGATTTATTTTATTCAAGAAATAATTTTTATTTACCTTGTTGTAATACTTAATATTCCATAGATTGATAAATGAACTACATGAAGAACCTATTTAACATCGAAATAAACTTTTGAAGTTCTAAAGTAAATATATTTACGAATAAGCTAACTGCTAGAATAGCATCGAATGTATTGAAAACATATTTAAAAAAGACTTTTGGACGAAGTGACCAAAGTTTAAGACTTGATTCAAGAAAATAATAAATAGAAAATGAAAATAAAATATTCTAAAGAAAAATTAAAATTCTTAATAATCATATTCTTTTCTATAGAAAAATTTTTACCGATAAAAAAATATCAATTGTAAAAAATTTCGGATGATATCGAAGAGCACCTTCAACCTAAATATTTCATAGTTAATAAAATTCATATCGTTTTTATTTTCTACATACAACTAAAATAATAAAATTAATTAATCCAATAGCATTGCCAAACCAAGTTAAATATTTCGAAGCACCAATTAATTGGACTAAAGCCCATATTCCTGAATATTCATGATGTACAACCGACTAAAATTATTTTTTTATTATGATTAACTTGTCAAATATAGATTTACCGATTTTTGAACATCAGCATCTAATGATAACATCGCTGTTGCAAACATATCCCAACCAACTTCATTATTTTCTCCAGCATATCGTTTTAATGTCTATAAAAAAAATTTTATTTTAATTATTTGAAAAAACAAAAAAAATCTTACATCAACTAATTCCGTTTTAAGAGGTTCAGGTAAATCTGAACCATTTATAACACGTGTTAATACTAACATTGGAGCTGTTGTTCGAGTTCTAAATATTAATTATCAAACAAAAAATAAAGGATAATAAAAAAAGCCAAACAAACATTCGTTGAGTCAGAAGTGAAGTTGTTGTGTCATCTGTTGTTGTTAATGATGATGATGGGATAACTTGACGTTCAAGTAAAATATCGAAACAAGCACGAACAGCTAAACGACGACGAAATAATGAATTTTGCATTGATGTCTAATTCATAGGACATGAATAGGAAAATAATTTTATAAATAATAATAATAATTTTACTGTAAAGAATTCTTTAAATGTATTCATTTTAATAACAGTAAATAGAGTCATTAAACAATAAAGACCTAAATAAGATCAATAGAATTATTTTTTAAGTAAATATTTAATTTTACCGATTGTAAGAAAAACAGCAAAGTAAATAATATATAATCGATTTTTTGAATATGCCGGTAATGTTACTAAATAATATTGAATATAAATAGAATCAATTAAAGAAATTTTTTACTATCTGGATTATTAGCTGTTGTTAAAAGAACAACTAAATTAAGTAAAGCATCGGGAAAATCAGGAAAATATTTTGTTCCTTCATTAGGTCGTTCACTTGGTGAATCTTTCTATTAAATATTATAGAGATTTTTGATAAAATAAAACTTTTAAAAAAGAAATACTCTCGCTGGTGGAAATAAAATCATTCCAATAACAGAAAAAAAATAAACATGGATTCCAAGAAGAATTGTCACACTTGAAAAATAAATCAATTAAAATAAATAAATAAATGATATAATTAATACCTAAGAATTTGTAAAAAAGATTTTCGTAAACTATTAAATATTTTCTTCATTTCTTGTGATATTACAGCCATATAAAACGGTCGAAGTAAAAATCGAATATTAATTGTCTATGTTAGAAATTTATTTTTTATATAAAAATATAAAAAAGGAATATTATTACTTTTCCTTGACAACCAAATATACAGGAAAAAATAAGATCAACCATTGATATAGTTGTTATAAGAAAATTCGCTATTATCCATGGCTTTTTTCGTGCATTCTTCAATCCAATTAAATAAGTCTTGAAAAAAAGAGCGTATTCATATATATTCAATGAAATAAAACTTATTTTACTCGCATAATTGCATCAATATAAAATACAATAAGACACACGAATTCAGTAAATAATTGTATTCCACATGGTAATGTTAGTCGTGTTCTATCTTGACGTAAATCAGATGTTCGACTAAGTGATGATGGATATTGAATAAATATAAGTAACAATTGACATGATACAATAAATGTTAATAAACGTTGAAATCGTTTTGACCAATACAATCGATAGAGTCTTAAGATATATGGTGGAGATAATTTATGTTCTATTGAACGAAATGAATATGCATCTTCAAGTAAAACTATTGCTTGAACAAGATGCTCTTCAGACCATGATTCACGAATACCACCATGTGGATTATCAATCATTATATCTGACATCTTTACGATAGTTTTATTCAAAATATTATCTACAATTTTATAACCACGTGTATGAGATAGGATTTTCAGATTCGTTTTTTATTTTTGTCAAAAAAAAAAGAAATTCAATCTAATAGAAATGGCAAACCCTCGATAGTAAAATTAATAGAAATAGCAAAAGAAAAAAAGAAATGGACGGAAATCAGTTCTTCATACTAATTTGATTGTGTTAAGCTGTCTTTTGTTTTGTTGGTTTCTTACAAAAAGATAAAACTGCTGTAAGTACAAGAATTAATTGAAATAAACAAAATACAAGTTGAGTACAACCAAGAACAAATTCAAGTTTTAATACAAGCCATTGCCATATTGTCCAATAAAGAAATGTAACTATTGATATTAATGTCACAACAAATCCAATGAAGATATAAAATAAATTTTCAGTAAGATTTGCATAGATAATTAATTCCAATCGAATATATTCTAATGTTAATGTAAGACATAATGCAAAGATTTCAAAACCATAAATTGTCCAGTCTAATGGCCAACCAACAAGACCTTTCCAGACAAATATTAAAATTTCAGCGACAAACCACTAAACAACAATGAATTTATATTTATTCAATTATTTTTTAATATGAAATTACTAGAAAAACAATCGGTCGATGAATATGACATAATGATTGTAATGGAATTGAAGATCGAACAACTGATTTTTCATCAGTAACACGTGTATCAATCATCTTCGGTTGACTCATTTTCTATCTGAAACTAGCAATAAAAAAGAAAATAATAGAAAAAGAAGTTTATTGATCATTTAATTCTTCAAGTTTTTTCTCAAGTTCATCTTTTCTTTTCATTTTTACAATTTGATCTTTATCTAAACTTGATGCATTTTCTTCATAACGTTTTTCTAACGCTATAATTTCTTTTAATAATTTTTGTGTCTTTTTTATTTCTTTTGCTTTATCATCTTCAGGTGTTGTTCGTGTTGTTAATTTAGCCATTTGATTTCTCATTTGTTTTTCTTCTTGAGCTAATTTTTTAGCACGTGCTGCTTTTTCTCCATCAGTTAAAACCATTCCGGGAATTAAATTGCCATTTTCAATACGTTTTTTTGTTTCCATTTGTGCTTGTTGACCCATAGATTGATAGACAGGCATTTCTTCTTGTGGAACATAATCTGCACGTACACGAATGGGTTTTCTCCATGTTCCATCAGGTCGTTGTGAACCAGGAATAAATGTTTCACCAGTCTTTGGATCACGAACTATATTTTTACGTTCATAGGCTGCACCACGTGCACTCATTTTTTCTCCTGAATTTGAAGGCGATGCCGACATCTAAAAAATTCAAACATAAGAAATATATCTGATGTTTGTATTTCTTTCTTTAATCTTTTAATATAAAAAACACACAAAACAATTGAAATATACAAAACAAGAAAAAAAACGAGAAGGCAAATATACGGGGTTTGTTTTTATATCTATATTGACACTGTTATGAAAGAAAGAAATTTAATTTGTTGATAATCGAGAAGAAGAAGAAGAAGTTTTTAATGATGGGGATGAATGAAATGTATCAAGAACTTGATTACGAAGTTGTTCAACAACATGACAAAATTTAACAGCTGGACCTAATTTAAATTCTAACAAATCTTGTACAGTATTTAAATCATCAAGAAGAAGTAGAGCTGAACCATCGATTTCCTTTTAATAAAAACAAAAAAATTAAATAAAATAAAAATAAAAAAAGAAGTTTATTTTACTTGTTCTTTAATTGTTTTTAATGCAAATGAACATCCAGATTCATTTAAATACCAACAAACATCATTGACATTCCATGTTATTGGATTACGTGGATCAATAGGTGGTGGTATTGGATAGGGTATTGATCGAATAGATGATGGTTGTTGAATTTCAGTTTTCGGTGTTTGAGATTTCGTATATAGACGTCGTTTTTTCTTTGTATTATTAGGTGATGATGGAGAATTATCATATGAATTAAGAACATCTAATGTTAATGGTGAAGATAACGGACGTTTTTTCTTTGATACACGCAAACGTTTTGATTCTTAAAAAAAACGAAGTCAAATTTTTAGAAAAAAATTAATACTCTTTTAAAAACCTTTAATTGGAGCATTTGTTGATGATGATGAAGATGACGCTTCTGATATTAAATGATTAGTTTCAATTGGTTCTTGTTCATTATTTATTACTTCTGGTTTTTTATTTGTTCTTGTTATTTTATGTGTTTTTCGTTCGATATGAAAACGAAATCCACGTGTTTGTCGATCACTTCCTGGATATGATACTGGGACAGTAGTAATTGGTAATACATCATTTGTATTATCAATTTCAGTTAATGGTAATTGTTCAATAGTAGGACTTGGCACATTTGTGGATATTGTTTTACTTTTTAAATGACATAATAAGGATTTTTGTTTACGATATCGATTTTGTGCGACACGTAATTGAGTACGTTTATGTTTTGAATGAGTTGAAAAAGCTATTTAGAAAAAAGAAAATATTTAAATTAAAATTAATTTTTTCTAAAACATACTAAAAGTATTTGATAATATATGACATTTATCTGGACAATGATTATCAATATGTTTTATACTAAGAAGATTTGGACAAGCTTCTAATTGTGTACATATATGACGAAGATAATGATAGACAGAACAAGGTTCAATTGGTATTGATATAGGACGAATTAATTTTGAAGATTTCTTAGCTGATTTTATATTTTCAGTTTTAAGAGTTGAATTTATTTGATGATCTAATCGACGTAATGCACGATGAGCATTTGTTGATAATATTGATAGAAGATGATGAAGCATATCAATGAGAACATGACGATAAGGTCCTGGACCAAATTTTGAAGGTAGACGAGCAAGACGAGATGAGCAAATATGTGGACCAGAAAAACATCGAATATTAACATAGATTGTTAATAGATATACTTCATTTAAATATACACGAGGAATTTTTGGATAATGAGTGACTGATGAAAATAATTCATATCGATCTTGTTCATAGGTTTTTATTTTCATTTTATATTCAATTGGATTTATTAATTGAAATCCATTAAATTTAGCCCATCCAACTGGAAAAACATCTAATGAATTAATTGGTAAAACATGATAATATAAATGTTCATCATCATTTAATAAATTTGTATCATCAATTCTTAACCACATAAAATGATCAATAATATGAATAAGTGTTACAGAAAAAACTAAATCTTTATTATTCAATGTATAAATCATTTCCATTTTCATTCCAGGTTCAACACGAATATTTCCTGAGACATTTAAAGTTATTAAATTAAAACATCGTTCAGGTGCTAAATCACTAATACCATTTTTTTCTGTATAAACATTCCAATAATCTTCTGATTGACGAATAGATTTCCCATTCATTAATGCAAGTTTATGTTCAGCTGCCCAATGTGGTGGTAATATATGTGGATCAGTTGAATAGGAAACAAATGATAATTCATTTTCATTATCATTATCAATAATAATATCAAAATAATATTCATTATGAATATGACCTATACGTCCAATATAAACATTTTGTCGTTTACCATCAAATATTTCTAATTTCATTCCTTCAGTAAAACGATGTTTGAGTATTTCTTGTTGTTCTTTAAATAAATTTGGTGGAAAAAATTGAGTTTTTGATTGTGTTAAACACATTTCAATTATTAATTGTTTATCAATCGGTACTTGTAAACATGTTGGAATATCATATGAATAAATTAATGAATTATTTGAAGTCCAACCAATAGGATGAACACGATAATCAAGATAAAATAGATGAATATCACAATCTTCTTGTTCATTATCTATTGTTTTAGTAATATATCGAAGATGTAAACGCCCACCTTGATTATTAATTATTCGTACAAACCATAAAGTCCATGGACGATTAATATCTTGCAATTCAAGTATCATACCGGTTTTCAATTGTTCAACAGGTGTTAAACCAATTTCCTAAATAGAGACATTTCAATATTAAATGATAAAATAAATTGTTTTCATCTTACTTTATCAAATAAATAAGCAGGCGGTGTTTCATAACTATCTTCATTTTCTCCTTTAATAATTATCATCGATTGTTTATCACTTCCATTCGAAGTATGATTATTATTATTGTTTAATGCTGCTTGTTGAATAGCTCGTCTCGTTACAATTGGTGGTGGTAACATTAATTTACTATTTTCTTTACACCAAC